GGGTCACCAGGTTGGGAAGGAGTGAACCCCTGCGCCGGAACAAGGGTCTTCTGGTTGTTTCCTGGCACAATGGGGTCAAACTAATCCTGGAGTTTTACTTCTGAGTAACGGAGCTCACACAGGGGAACAGAATTGCCCACTGGACAGACAGGACGATGTCCACCAAGCGGTGCAATGGGGTCTTGCTGGGAGCTGGCTGCACTAACCTAGCAGGTCTGAGCCCTCTCCAGCTCTCAGCTGCCCCTTGTCCAGGCTTTCCCCTCCCCGGCCCCACTCAGCAGTCCCTTATGAGTTACATGTGCTCCCTGCAGTATCCTAAACCCCTGCGGGCCCCGTGCTCTGTGTGGGGGGCTGCAGGGGCCACAATAAGAAGGCCTGCTGGGGAGGCCTTTAGCTTCAAGCGAGCAGTACGGAAGGTCCAAATCAACGTGGTAAAGGTTTTCTGGGGCCGGGAGACAGCAACTCTGGGACAGGAGGTATCTGTGGCCCCGAGTCCTGGCGGCGGAGATGCCTGCTAAGAAGGTCTGACCCCAGAGTGTCACTGCGCAAGGGTGCCCAGCGTCAAGGGGCCATGAAGGCTGAGCTTCTGGGCACTCGGTGAGGACTTGCCTCTGTCCAGAGGAAGAGGCATGATGTCCTCACTCAGACCAAGTGACCTTTAGTGCTGGCTCTGCTGCCACTTCCACGGGTCTCTCTCAGGATGCTTCCAGCATCCGCCAGCGATGGTGCTCTGGTGGAACACCCAGGTTGGGATAGGTTCAGTGATTTGCCCAAAGTCACAAGGCAAGTAAAGAAAGGACTACCCTGGACCCTCTACAATCTGCTTTGTGGTTTGGGGGTCCATATGGTTTCTGAGGGTCTGCTGCAACCTTTGGGGGCGGGGTTGTTTTCTTCTCCCCACTGGCATCTCATGAGTTTCTTCTCCACAGCAGAGGGAGAAGCTGTGAGTTTATGGGGGGTGGGGGGCTTCCACACTGAAGGGAGCGTGCTTTAACGAGGGGAGGGGGGCGGGCGGGCACCACACATGGAGCTGCAGCTAATGAATTGCTAATACAATTTTCTAGATAATTTTATTTCCATAGCCCCACATTTTAATGTGTTTCCAAAAGCTAGCATTTATTTGCTTAATCTCCCAGTGTAATAGAATCTGCCCTGACTCATCATACACGCGGCCGATCAGCTAGGCAGAAGCGACGGCAAATTGTTTAATAACTCACAGCTCGTCTCTGGATTTCTCACTTGCACGCGCCAATAGCGTCTCTCGGGTCTCCCCACTTCTTCTCCCACCCGCATCCTTCCCATTTCTTTAAAAAAAAAATGTTTTCTATCCTCTCTGCCATGACTCTCCAGACAGAATGGTTTGGGGTGGGAGGTGGAGGATGTTGGGTTTCTGACTTTCCATCAGTGCTGGCCTTGTGGGGAGGCACCAGAACTGGAGGGGTCGGGGGTAGGGACCACAAAAAGGGACATTGAAGCCTTTCCAGAGGGCACTGATACAACTTTGATGCCATTGTTCAGGTGCAGGGGTGCCATCAGGACCTCAGTGCCCGGCTTTCTATTCCCAACCCTGTCCCTTCCTGACGCCTGTCTCTGCATTCCTTCTTTTTTTTTTTTCTTTTTCTGTTTGGGTCACACCCAAGCAATGCACAGAGATTACTCCTGGCTCAGGCACTCAGGAATTACTCCTGGCAGTGCTCAAGGGGGCATATGGGATGCTGGGAATCGAACCTGCATCAGCTGTGTGCAAGGAAAACACCCTACCTGCTGTGCTATTGCTCCAGCCCGTCTGTCTTCCTTCTGCCTCACTACCTGGACCCCTTATCTCCACCAGTGGCAGCCCCAGAGTCAGTAGCTCTGCCCCTAGCACCTTGGGGTCCTATAAATGGTGCCCTGCTGACCCCTCCATGCTTTCATGGCACCCTGTTGCTTATAGAATGGCATCTGACGCTGGTCCCTGCCCTGGCCACATCTCTGACAGTTGTTCAGTTCAGCTCCTGAGCCCCTCCCCCTTCCTCCGCTCGGGCCCTCACACTCTCCCTCTCTCAAAGTCTGACTGGATTGGCAGTGAGGATTGGCTGTGAGGTAGCTCGGAAGGCTGGGGTGTCCTCCCTGCTGTGTGAAGCCCTGAGTTGAGTTCCCAGCACCCCAAGCTCTGTGGGGTGGCCCCGGTGGCCCCCAACCCCACTTAGCCCAAACAGCCCTTCAGACCTGACCAGAGCACTGACCCATTCATTAGGTCGGTATTGCCGGGGTGACCCTGAGGCTCCATTGCTCAGACAGACTCCCCCAAACAAACACTCCAGAATCTTCATGGCTTCCTAGAGCCGCCTTGCCTGAGCCTCTGCCTGGTCATCAATGTGGGTGTCCCCCACACTGTCTGGGACCCTACTTCTCAGCCTGGGCTCAGCCCCCCCCCATCTCTAGCTCTAAGCCTGCACCTGTGATGCTCAGACTACTCTTGGGATCAGGGTTCAGCCATCCTGAGGCCTTGGGTGGACAGTAGAGCAGCTCTAGAAGTCCCTGGAGGACCACGGGTGGCCAAATTTCCAGGTTGGTTTAGCCTGCTTAAGGGCCAGGGTGGGACCTGCCCACAGAGCCCCTCTGGGCCTCACCCGCAGGGACTGTCACCCAGGGACCCTCTGAGCAGGCGACCACTGACCCCGGGCACAGCTGCCCAGGAGCCTGTGAGTACTGTGGACATTAGGCTGATGGCGTCTCTCTAGTTGCTGGGCAGGGCATGGGGGCTGCTTCGGGGGTTCCAGAGAGACTGAGTCTCGGCAGTTAGGTGGCAGATGGGATTTGAGACTCTTTCTTGGGTGGCTGTGCCAGGAGGCCCTGCTTCAGAGCAGTACTGAATGGGGGTTCATAACCTGCCCAACAGATGCCTGTCTCTGTGGGATCCTGGGGTAAGGCACGGTGAAGATATCCAATCATAGCAGCCTGAACGGAGATACCCAGTCAGGTGGCAGCCTGAAAAGAAGAGCCCTACCAGGAGTGATTCCTGAGTGCAGAGCCAGGAGTAACCCCTGACTGTCACTGGTATGACCCAAAAAGCCAAAAAAAAAAAATTCTAAATCATACTTGATGTATGTTATTTTATTATTTTTTGTTTCTGGGGTAACACCTGGCAATGCTCAGGGGCTACTCCAGGCTGTGAACTCAGGAGTTATTCCTGGCAGTGCTTGGGGATACTATACGGGATGCTAGGGATTGAATCTGGATCAGTCACATGTAAGATAAATGCCCTCCCCACTGGAGTATCTATTGATCCTGATGAGTGTTATAGGGGTCCTTAAAGAGGTTTTTGTTTGGTTTATTTTGGGGCCTCCTGAGCACTTAGGAGGCCCCACCTACAGGTCAGACAAAGGCGCAGTGACACGGTGCTTCTGAGGATAACCCAGGCCACTGCAGTGAAGCGAAGGGACACACGTGGTGCTGGGGGCAGGGAGAGGACCCAGGTCGGGTGGTGCAGGGTGCACACCCTCATCACTCCACTTTCTCCTGGGCCCTTTAAAATATGTGGGGGAGTGGCAGGTAGGGGGTGAGGGGGACGGGAGGGCAATGGGGACCATTGATGGTGGGAAAAGTACACTGGTGAAGGGATGGGTATTAGAACATTATATGACTGTAATCCAATCATGAACTGCTTTGAAAATGTGTTTATCACTGTGATTCAATTTAAAAAAATTAGTTAAAATGTGGGTATTTATTTTTGTCCACCAATCGAGGTCTGGTTTCGTATTCAGGGAACCATATATAATGCCAGAGATTGAACTGGGGTCACTCACATACAAGGCAAGTGCCTTGAACCATGCATTATCTCTCCAGTCCCCAAATGTGTTGTGTTGTTGTTTTCTGGACCACACCCGGCAGTGCTCAGGACCTACTCCTGACTTGATACTCAGGGGTCACTCCTGGTAAGACTCAGAGGACCCTCTAGGGTGCCAGGGATTAAACCCAGTTTGGCCACATGCAGGGCAAGGGCCCTGTCCACTGTACTGTCTCTCCAGCCTCTGCTTTGGGGCATTATGGTTTGCAATACAGATATTGAAAGGTTATGTTTATTCCTTTTCCTATATTCAGCACATCATTTTTATCCAAAGTGATCATTTCCAACTAGCTTTGTCATAGTGATCCCTTCTCTATCCCAACTTCCCTCTCCTGCAACACTTGAGGCAGGCTTCCAACCATGGACCAATCCTCCTGGTCCTTGTTTCTACTGTCCGTGGGTATTAGTCTCATATTATGTTTTTTTCTATGTCACAGGTGCGTGCAATAATTCTGTGTCTATCCATCTCCTTCTGACTCATTTCACTCAGCATGATTCTCTCCATGTCCATCCATTTATAAGTGAATTGCATAACTTTATTCTTCCTAACAGCTGCATAGTACTCCGTTGTGTAGACATACCATAGTTTCTTTAACCAGTCATCTGTTCTTGGGCATTTGAGTTGTTTCCAGATCCTGGCTATTGTGAATAGTGCTGTAATAAACATAGACTTGCAGATAGAAGTGCTGCACATACACATTCTCAGTATCACATTTTGTACTGTTTCTTTGTGGCCTGTGAAGCCTTTCTCCTGCTTTCTGCAGGCATAAAAAGAAAAAAAGTCGAAAACCATTAGTGTAAGGAATTTGGGATGCATTTCTGCCCCTAGGCCTTGTTTCCTTTAATCTGGGGCAGAGGCGAGGTTCCATTTGGGGGGAATTGTGTTTCTAAAGGACATTTGAACCCCAGCTGGTCCTGGCTGTCCAGGGACCACCCTGATGTCCCCCCACCCCCACCCCCCATACCTGAAATGTACCAGCCAGTGTCCTTTCCCCTCCTGGGACGTGACTCAGGTGACTGCAGGCCTGTGTCCGCTGCAGTGACCTGATGACCAGAGTCTCTCCCCACTTTGGGTTCTGAGGGGCAGGCGGGAGATCAGGTGGTCTCTGGTGGAGCCGGCTCCTGGCTGGGCCTGGGCTGTTCTGAGGCTCTGGCGCCCTGTCGCCCACAGGCACGGACATGGCCGTCTTCTGTCTGCTGTGTGGGAAGCGCTTCCAGGCGCAGAGCGCGCTCCAGCAGCACATGGAGGTCCACGCGGGCGTGCGCAGCTACATCTGCAGCGAGTGTAACCGCACCTTCCCGAGCCACACGGCCCTCAAACGCCACCTGCGCTCACACACAGGTAGGTGACGACGGGGCGTCGGGGTAGGGGTGTCTGGGAGTCTGGGTCCCACGGGGCTGGGGGCAGGGGGTGTCCCACAGGGCACGTGATGGTGGTCTGGGTCTGTGGATCCCGCCTTTTGGACCCTTGGGCCCTGGATTCGCAACATCTGAACGGAGTAGGCGGGCGTGAAATGCAGGTGGTCGCACCAGAGACACTTGGGTTGGTGGGTCTGGAGTCAGGAGTTCTCCCGAGGGATTCTGTGGCAGGCGGCGTCGAGGTGCATTTGGAGAACTCACTGTGTGTGTGGTGGGGTCTCTGCCATGCCCGCTGCCCCTCTTGGGGTCGCCTGCGGGGGCTGAACCCAGCCCCGGGCCATTAAGGGGATGTGGAAGAAGCGACCCTGCTTGCCTCACAGTAGCAGAAGCAAATTCCTCTCCTTGGCACTGATAGAAGGGAGCCAGTGGGGGGCATTTAGACGAGGGAGCCAGTGAAGCCCTGAGTCTGTTCCAGATGAACCAACGGGATTGGGCCAGGTGCCCAGGGACTGGCCAGTCCCTGCCCCGAGCCTGTGGGTTTCGGAGCAGCCCTGATCCCTAGAAGGGAATGGAAGCTTTTCTCCTGCCTCTGACACCAAACAGGGTCTTCATGGCCTGTCCGTGCTCCCCCTGTGAGTCTGCATGTCTGTGTGCTCGGGCTTTGGCGGGGTGGGGTAGGTAGGGCCAGGGGGCAGCTGCTCCAGGTCCGTATGAGGGGGGTGGGGAGGCTGCGAGTGTCTCCACTGAGAGGCCGGAAAGCGGCGTTTGCTGCTGGGCTGAGTGTCCCCGCCAGTGTCCCCGAGTCTCAGCGCTGGGCTCAGCTGCAGACCTGCTGGGCCAGCAGAAGGGAGGGCTCTGAGGGGGACTTCTCGGCAGTGTAGCCCAGACGGGTGGAGCAGCCTCAGTCCCTCCCTCCCCGCCGGTCTCATCACCTTTCAGGTGCTGGACCCTGTCACCTGGTCCCACTGTCATTAGAATGACCCCAGCGCTACCAAGTACCCCCCCCCCCCCCGCCATGCGCCGGTGACCTTCTGACCGCTCAGATGATCCGAATGGCAGGTGCCCTGGATCAGTCGTGGCTGGGATCGTGGGGGAGGGGCAGACCCCCCCCACGTTGGATGGGGGGTGCACACCCCACTTCATCTCTCTCGGAAGCATCGTGTGGGTATGACTTTTGCACCCACTCAGATGCCCATTCATTCCCCCCCCCAGGAGAACCAAACCCCCCCAATCACGAGGCCCCGTGCACACAAGCCCCATGCAGGCTGGGCACACCCCCCGCACAATGCCTCATTAATATGCCGTTGTTCTTGGCCCATTTGCCGCCGTGGCTGGGTGTTTAGTGTCGGCAGCTGTGTTTGGTAGGTTAGTCCAGCCGTGCTGTTGGCATTGATGGATCTCTGATTCACGTGGCTCATCATAGAATAAACTCTCAGCTGTGCTGGAGGGAGGGGCCCACGCAGCCCTCCCGGATGGGGCCGGGGTAAGGAGGACCATGCTGGGCCCAACCCGTGCCAGCGACGCCCCCAGGTAAGGACAGCCCTGGGGGGGGGGGGTCACAGGGGCGCTGGGCAGGCCGGAGGGGGCTCTAATTAGTCTCGTTTGTCCTGCACTTAACGTCAGGCTCATTAAAGAGGCTACAGAGTTAATCAACATACCACAAATTGGATTTTGCATTCTGCAGCCAGTCTTGTGTACGTTATGGCCGCACGGACACAATTAACTCGCAGGCAGGGCTCGGATTAGGGACCAGGTGCTCGCCGGCCTCTCAGATCTGTGTGTGTGCAGGTGCACACGCGTGTGCAGGCCATGAACACGCAGACACACGCGTCTGTGTGCCTGCAAGCGTGTGTGTCGATGCATTTCTTGGCTTTCTTTTTTTTTTTTATTTTTTTTTCCTGTTTTTCTTTCTTTTTTTTTTTTCAAAAGAATTCCTTTCCCGGGGCTCACTCTGGAGGTCTCCCATTTAAACTCATTTAACATGTAATCCACTTCATAACTAAATTCATAAAAATGGGATCAAACCAACCTCTCTGCCTGAACCTGCCTTTTAAAAAAAAAACCACCAAAAAAACACCAAAACAAAAACAGAAACCACTTCTTGGGGTGCCCCCTCGGGAAAGAACAGGCACACACAGAAGCTCTCCCCCACCCCCCCAGGCCGGGCGGCTGCCGATGTACATTTTAATTACCGGCTCTGGCTGAAGTCTCACGTGGCCCTTGCTTATTTATTTATTTATATCTTAATGAGGATACTGAATCCTTGATTAAAGTCGTAATCGTTGCTGATTTGGGTGGGAGGGGGTGGGGGGGAGCCGGGGCTGTGCCGAGCAGATGCCGACAGCCGAGAGGGGCAGGCCCAGGGGTCCCACCCATAAGGGGCTTGGCAGCTTGGGAGCAGGCTCTCAGCATGTGTCCCCCCCCCCCGCCCCGGGTCCCAGTCTGCCCCAAGCCAGTGGTGGAGGGAGCCAGGCAGCCTTGGGGGAAACGCTGCTCACCCCCATATTTTTGCTTGTCGGCCTGACCGAGCTGGAAGTTCACGGGAGCCGATGGCTGCAGAGGGCTGAGGAGGCTCAGGACGCCTTCTCCATCCCTCTCTCCTTGCGCCCTCCCCCCGCCGCGCCTGCAGTCGCCCACCTGCTCGCCCACCCAGCTCTTGGTGCCCTCAGGGCTTCTTCCACCGCAGAGAGGGCCAGGCAGGAGCAGACCCCACCATCCGCTCCCCGCAGAGCCTTAAAAACCCTCCCGAGGCCTCAGAAGCAAAGAGAATTTATGTGGGCCCAGGGGCCAGCTTTGCTTTTCAAGAGTGGGGGAGGCTTTGGCAGGCCCGAGGAGGGGGGGGGGGGAGAGAGAGAGAGAGAGAGAGAGAGAGAGAGAGAGAGAGAGAGAGAGCGCACAAGCAAGAGGGGAGAGAGTAAAATATCATTTTAAAGAGGAAGTGAAGGCACAGACATGCGAGTCTATAACGAGAAGGACAATTTATGCCCAGGCACGAGCGCAGTTTGACATGGGGATAATGAAAAAACGTAGGTCATTGTGGATGACTTAAACCTTCAGCAGCTGAAGAAAATGTATGAAATGCAGGGGACATTACACGGTTGGCAGCCCCGCACATCTGCAGAGGGACGGGTGAAATACAGTGGGCCATTCTTTACCATAAACTGTGGTTGTTGGAGACGCAGCCCAGAGAAATTGTAATTACAGTGACAAGACGAATCAGCGATATTTAAATATTCATGAACAAAGTCTGGGGGTGATCAATCTATCTTTATTGTCTGTGCCTTCGCTCCCGTAATAAATAAGGAGCTGGAGTCCTCACCTTTCAGGCCCCAAAACTCCACCTGGGGTACAGTGTGACAGGTGTGGCGCGCACACACACACACACACATGCACACACACACACTCTTTTTCCTGGGGACGTCATGGCATGTATAGAAAAGGTAGGCAGAACACCCCAGGACAGGCCTTCATCCTGTCTTCATCTGCCCTAGCTCTCCGAGGCTTCACATGCTCGCCAGTTCCCGGGTTTCTGCTGCTGCCCCAGGCCTCCCTCTCTGCCCTGGGGCAGCTTCAGGTCCGGCCACCCTCGTCTGGTACAGCCAGGACACAAGCTGGGCAGCTTGTCACCGAGCAAACCACTAAGTGTCCAGACTCTGGAACCAGAAACAGAGGCCCCAGCTGCCTCCTCTCTGGCTTGAAAACATATTTAAGACGCTCAAGCCCTTGTCCTCCTCTGTAAATTGAGCACACAAATATTTTTTCTGGGGGGATGTTGTGGTGATCGTGTCCTGGCTTCCACAGAGTCCACTCAGAGGGGTCCTAAAAGTCGAGCTGGCGCTACTTCTGCCAGAGAGAAGTCAAGCTGTGTCCCTTGCTTTTTTTGCGGGAGGAGGGTGGGACAGAGAAGGAAGGGTGACTCACTGGATGGGAGCTGGGGGTTGCATCAGGGAGTGAAGGTGAAATCATACCGAGAGAACAGCCATGAGGGACTATGGAATGGGAGAAGGAGCAGAATGGATTTGGGGGCCTGGGGGCAGGGGACATTATTCTCATCACTCCCCAAGTTGGAAGGATCACTGGGTTAGGATCAAGGAGGAGTGGCTTGTGGCGCAGAGAAGGTCTCACTGTCCTCCAGGTCTGCTTTCCCTCTGGTGGGGACCAGCTTGTGGCCATTGAGTATTGGTGAGCCAGGGGCTGACCCCCAGGCCACAGTACGAGATGGACTCTGGGCACGCACATGTGTGGTCCTCATCTGTGTTCTTTGCGGGAGGCGGAGGGTGACGAAGGCAGGCATGTGCCCCCCCAACCCTGTGCTCCCCATGCCACTGACCCAGCCCCTGTGCCCCGCAGGCGACCACCCGTACGAGTGTGAGTTCTGTGGCAGCTGTTTCCGTGATGAGAGCACCCTCAAGAGTCACAAGCGCATCCACACCGGTGAGAAGCCCTACGAGTGTAACGGCTGCGGCAAGAAGTTCAGCCTCAAGCACCAGCTGGAGACTCACTACCGGGTGCACACAGGTAGGGTGGGTGAGGGAGGGCACCGGCAGGGACACAGTAGTGGTGGGGGTAGGGGGGTGAACCATGGGGGTCGGGTAGCCTAGTTCCCAGGCGAGGCTGGTCCTTGAGTTTGCTAAGGATTAGTGGGGTTCAGATACAGGTAATACAGGGGTTCACGTGCGGCTCACCCAGTAGGAGCCCCCCCACCCCACACACACACACACACTTCATAGGGTTTCCTAAGACCTGCTAGAAGTGAATGAAGAAGCAGGAAGCTTAGTATAGCCCCACGTCCTCCCCTCCCTGCCTGTATCCCCCCCCACACACACACATACACATACACACACACACACACACACACACAGGGATTAGAATCAGAGGCCCAAGAGTGACCACCCACTGGCAAGGTCAAGGTGGACTTGTCCTGAGCCCAGACCCTGCCAGGACCCCCCCAGATGGGGAGCACAGGGTCTTCGGGAATCTTGAATCAGAGTTAAGTCGATGAAGATGAGGGTGACTTCCTGTTGGAGGGAGGGAGGAAGAAGTTGGGAGTATGGGGTTAGGTCCCTATGGGGGTGAGGGAAGCTGAAAGGTTCTAGGTGGCCTTCAGTCCCCAAACCAAGCATGCAGGTACCTGGACGGTGGCTCCTCTGTGGGTACAGTCACCTCCCATTCCCGAGGCTGCCTGTGCTTGTTCATGTGAAGGGAATGTGAGTCACTGTGGCCCTGGGGTCCGAGGATTTGGGAATCCTGAATTAGATTCAGGATTGCAGAACCAGTGATGTGGTCCAAGGCCTAGATCACCAGCCTGGAGGGCCGTGGACAGCCAGAGCTGCTGGCCTGCCTCCCATGTGTGAAGCCAGCTTCCCCAAGCCTCTCTTTGCAGCTCAGAATTCACCAGCGTCATCTAGGTTGCTTAAAAGCAGAATGATGGGGTGGACACATGGGGCCAGGACAGGTGCCACCGAGGATGGGCTCCGGGCAAGCCAGTGGACCAGGGGCTAGAGTGATAGCACAGCAGGTAGGGTGCTTACCTTGCATGTGGCCGACCCAGGTTCAATTCCCAGCATCCCATATGGTCCCCTGAGCACCGCCAGGAGTAATTCCTGAGTGAAGAGCCAGGAGTAGCCCCTGAGCATCGCCGGTGTGACCCCCCCCCAAAAAAAAGTAACAAACAGAAAAGGGATCCCAAAACTCTGCTGACTGGGCAGGGTGGGAGCTAGATACACAAGGGGCTTCCTGAGGGGACAAGGCCAAGACACCAACACTGTCCTCTTGAGGTGGAAAGGGAAGAGGTGTTCTCGTGGAAAGGGAGGAACACCCATGGGGGGTGCAATAGCTCTTTTTTTGTCTCCAACTTGTGGGCCCATGGCGAGGCTAAGGGTGCTCGTGGCTGTCAGCTCGGGTGACCCGGAGGATGTCCCGGAGCCCTGGGGCTTCCTGAGGCCCTTGTCAGGGCTGTGACCTGGCCGGCGGATCATTAAATGCATTGGCAGTGACGATTGTAAATAGCCGGTCGATGGTTAGATCACTTTGGCTGTTCATTACTTCATTATTTGCCGGGGCCTCTGCACGGAGACGTATTGATAGTGAGGCGGCTGGCCAGTTAATTACTGTATTGAAACAAGGTCCCCTCACACCCTCTGCTCAGCTCCAAGGGACTCCACAGACAGGAGACCGGGGCAGCCGGGCCCGGCCACTTCTTCGGCCCTGCTCTGACCGACGCTGGCCCCCCAGGGAAGGGAGGGTCTGGGACCCGCACCCAGAGCCTTAGAGACACAGACATCCCCATGCAGTGCCCATGAGGGGTGACGTCCCTTGGCTTTTCCCCCACTAGCTGCCACCCTGGGGGAGCTCCACTATGGTCTGGGACAGAAGCTGTGACTCGGGGGTCCCCCCACCCCCTGAGAAGCCTTCCCTCCAGCTCTGTCTCCTCCCAGAGAGGGAAAGGCGTGTCCCCAGGGGGAATCCAGGCTAAGGCCAGGGCTCGCCGGCCTGAGCACAGCCGTGGCCACCAGCCACGTGGGGTGGTTTTAGGTCCTTTCCGTGAAATCCAGTTTTTGCCCGGGGCGCTCAGAACCCTCGGCAAATACCAGCGGCCTGACTGGTCAAGGTTTTGTTCTATTTCATTATAGTTTTTGGAAGGGGTTTACCCCACCCCCCCAGCAGTGCTCAGGGCTGACTCTTGCTCTGTGCTCAGGGATCACTCCTGGCGGGGCTTGGGGGAATGCTTTGCGGCACCGAGGTGTGTGTGTTGGGGGGTGGGGGCACGGCTGGAAGGTAGGTGTGCAAAGTGAGACCTCCCCCCACAGTGCTATCGCCGTGGAAGGTTCTGTGGGCAAACACTGAGCCTGCAGGACCCACACGGCCCTGTCCCGTGTCCCCGCAGGAGAGAAGCCGTTCGAGTGCAAACTCTGCCACCAGCGTTCCCGGGACTACTCGGCCATGATCAAGCACCTGCGCACGCACAACGGCGCCTCCCCCTACCAGTGCACCATCTGCACCGAGTACTGCCCCAGCCTGTCGTCCATGCAGAAGCACATGAAGGCGCACAAGCCCGAGGAGATCCCGCCCGACTGGAGGATAGAGAAGACTTACCTGTACCTGTGCTATGTGTGAGGCTGGCCCCGGCGCCAGAGAGAGAGAGAGAGGGAGAGGGAGAGGGAGAGAGAGAGGGAGAGAGGGCGGCAGTCCAGGGAGGACTGTGCCAAACCAAGGAAAAAGAAAAAGAAAAAAAAAAAAGGAAAAAAAATAGGGAAAAAAATAAAGCTTCCAGAGAGGAGTTCGCTGGGTCCCTCTCGGCTTCTCTCTGAGGCTCCAGGTGACCCCCCCCACCCCGTGCCGCTGCACCCCTTCCTGGGGGCCCTTCATCCCCGCCCCCTGCTATCCTGGGCTGGAGGCTGGCCTGGTGTTCCCCGGGGTGAGGCTGAGGGGGGAACAGCGGGGTTCAGCTCAGAGAGGGTGTGTTGTCTGCCTCCCCCCCCACCCTGCGGTGTCCAGAAAAGAGGCCGGGAGGGAGGGGTGCCTGGTTAGACCCCCGACAATCTGCTGCTCCCCTGCTCACAAAACCCCGCCCCCTAAAGATGGGATTGACAGGAGGCAGTGGGAGGGGCAGCCTGGGGAGGGGGGACACGGACTCAGAACAGCAACTCTAGTTTTCCGGGAGAAGCTTGGGCTGTGTGTGGGGGGGTAGGGGGAGCTCCTTCCTCCCCGAGCGTCCCCCCGCCACCCCGGCCTCGCAGCCTCTTCCTCCTCCAGCTGCCCGCTGGGCCCCCCAGCTCCCCTTCCCGAGGGCATCAGAGAATGGGGGGCTGCCCGGCCTGGCCACACCCTCTCTCCCATCACAAGCGCATTGCTACTGAGCTGCTTTGGCTTCCAGAAAGGAGAGGCAGAGTGAGGGGTAGGGCCTGTCCCCCCCACACACAGTCACTGGGGCCCTGCAGCCTTCGGTCCTGGGAGAGGAATAAGCAAGGAAGGAAAAGAGGGGTCCTGTCTTTGCACCTGCAGCAGTGGAGACCCCTGTTGGTGGAGTCGGGTGTGGGGCAGTGAGTTCAGTGCAGACAAGGTCCAGGATCAGGGGCGAGTGTGGCCCTTCTGGCTAGCAGGTCCCTGACTCCCAAGAAGGAGGAGGAGGAGGAGGAGGAAGAGGAGGAGGAGGGTTTTGGCCTTGTATTATGTTTTCTTCTTTTTCTGTGTCCTCCCACCCCCCCCCTCACCCCCCCCCCCCCTTAGCACATTGTACTTGAATTACCTCAGTTTTTTGTGACCTCATGAGCTTTCTTAACCCCTGCATCTCCTTTTTTGGTTGGGGTTGGAGGGATGCGGGAAGGGAGTTTTTCTGTTTCGGGGCGTAAGTGAAGAGGTGGTTGAGTCCACTTCAGCTGACCCACTCTCAGCCACCCTGGAGGCCGGCCGCCCTCCAGCTAGAAGGAGCAGTGCAAAGCGGAGAACTCAGGACGTGGGGGTGAGGGGGCTGGTGGGCAGAAGGGGAGGGTTGGGGGGGCAGCGCCCGAGCCTGGAGCCCCTCTCGGCTCCGCCTGCGGCCTGCTGTCTTTACCAGTGCACTTACCCGCAATTTGGGGGGCTCCCTGGGGCCGGGGCGGCCTCGGGCCCTTGCAACATGTCACCCCACTTTGCGTGTATTACTGTTGCCAAAATCGGTCTCTTCCCGGCTGGTGTGGGGGTGCACCAGCCTCGGTTGTGTTTTTTTCGGGGGGGGGGGGGAGGGAGGGGGCGTTGTTTTTCTAAAAGCTACCTCTTATGTTTGTCTGGTTGTTCTTTGGTTCCCTTCTGGCCTCCCACTCTGCGTCCCTCTTCTCCACGCCCCCCCCCCCCGCCACCCCGTGCCCCCTGAGTTTGGAAAGCCTGTCCGCAGTATTTACGTTGGCTTCGGGACGGGACGGCCTTCTTGCTTGGTCACGAGAGCTGCTTGCGTATTTTCTTTCCCTTTCCTGGCTGCCGAGGCTGGCTGCGGCTTTGTATTTTAGGTTTTAGAAAGTGGTAGAGGAAAACAGTTGGGGGGGAGGGGGGATGAAGGATAGGAGTGTCGGATGATGGGGTTGCCTAAACCCCCACCCAGCCCAGCCCTCCTGCCCGCTCCCTCCCCCCGAGTCTGCCCCAATTCCCCCCCAACACCAACACCACATCTGAAGGCCTTAAAAATTGTGTGATGCGGGGACTTGAGTTGAGGGGGACAGTGTGGGGTGCGGAGGGAGGCAGCTTTGCGGCTCTCTGAACGACAGGGGTTTCGGAAAGGAAAAAAGAAATATCGGTGAAACTTGAACTACGTGGCGAGAGCAGTCGTTGGGTTTCTGTGAGTGAACGCGGGAAGGGTTCCTGTAGGAAACCATCGTGCACTAATGCTTCCTCCCCGATCTGGGAAGAAGAGAGGGCCTGGCCGGCCCTCGGGAGGTCCCGCAATCCCAGAATCCACCCTCTGAACAGCGCGAGCCGTCACTCGGCTCTGGTGGGGAAGGAAACACAAATCCAAAATCCAACTATTCCGAAGCAGGGCCAGTGGGCACGGGACAGAGGTGAGGGAGGGAGAGAGGGCCCCCGCCCCGCCCCGCCCTGCCCCGCCCCCTCCCCCGCCTCCCGGTTCACAAAAAGTTGAGAGGGTTGAGCTAATATTTACAAATTGTAATATTTTTGTAATATGTGTTGGTTCCTTTGTCAGTTCGACAGGACTGTGCTCTTTCCTTCTGTGATGTGAATAGGAGAAAAAAAAAGACAAAAAAAAAAACCAACCAACCACAACCCCTATCCCTGCACTACCACTGGTGATCATACTTCCCTTCATACTTGTGTGCGTGTGTGTGTGTGTGTGTGCCTGCGTGCTGTTCATGTGTGCTTGTGTGTCCAATCACGCGGTGTGGGCATTCTAGGGGATGGCGGCATTGGGTAGCAGGGGGTCAACCTCTGCCGGTCCCCCACACCCCAGGGCCCAGTGGGGTCCTGGGGGAAGCTGGGGAGGGTTGGGAGGGAAGCTGGGAGATGTGGGCCCCCTCCCCAGGCACCCCAGGGGAGCCCTCCCCGGCCTCTTTCCTGGCTGCCTTCCCCCCAGGACTAAAGAGGAGGGCCCAGGTGAGGGACAGAAGTGACCGGAAGCTTCCCATGTGTCCGGTAGGGGCGGGGCTGGGGCCACAGGAGGGTGGAGGGGGGCTCTGTCCCCAAACGAGAGCTGAGTCTTTGCACTTAACTTGCCCCCGCTGCCTTAGCTGCTGACACCGCACTTGCTCCTGCCTTCCTTCACCGCAGCTCCTCAGCCGGCTCAGGTCTGAGTCGGGGACTCCCTTTCCTGTGCTCAGCTCCTGCTGAACGTGTGTACCGCTCAACGCTTGCGGCCACATGTACCCCTCCCCCTTCACGTGCCCCTCCCCGGCCCCGCCCCTCGCTCCTTCCAGGCGTTCAAATCCTATGTGTATATAGGATAGACAAATATATAGAGAGATTATACATAGCAAGAGAGATATAAAATAGTAAATATCATTGCTGCTGTGGGCTGCTTCGGAGGAGGCTGCGAAGACGGGGAAGGTAGATTCGGGCTGCAGGGGGTCGGGGTGGGGCGGGTGGGAGGCTGGGGGACCCAGTGATTCAGTACAATCCAGGGATGCAACGCCGGCTTGTTGAATCTGTGCCTGAACCGTTTTTCCATGTTTCAAAAGAAAAAAAAAGAAAAGAAAAAAAAAGAAAAAGTAAAAAAAAAAAAAAAAAAAGCAAGCCACAAATTTGCAATGTGTCACACGTGTGCGGTCCCCGTGAGGAGGCTGCGGGTCTGGTGGGCTGGAGCCTGCCACACTGCCCATCTACTGACCGACCGAGGGGACAGTGGTGGGCAAGGCTGGGGAGGTGGGGCTGGTGGTGGCGGCGGCTTTCTGCACGCCCCACAGGAGAGGAAGCAGGGCCAGTGGGCATGGGACGGAGGCGGAGGCGAGAGAGGACAGCCCTGCTCCTCGCTCCGGGGCCCTTCCAGATGCCAGAGACAAAGTGACCAGCTGGGTGGGCGGGGCCCGAACGGGGCGTGGCCAGGGAGGGGCGTGGCCTGGTAGGCTCCGCCCCCACCCATCTGGGGCCGTGGGCGCTCCCCCCTTCCTACCCCCTGCAGACAGGGTCCCGGCCTCCTGGGGTGTCCTAGGAATTGTTCCCATAGTGTTATGCATGATCTTCGTAAGGTTAAGAAGCCATGGTGGTGGTACACCATGACATCGACTCATATATATAAAGATAAATATATATATATGTATGTAAATTATAGCACTGAGGCCCCCCCGGCCCTGCTGGACCAAGCAAAACTAAGCCTTTTTGGTTTGGGTTTTTAACGTTTTGTTCCGTTGTATGTGTGTTTCTGTGGCTTGTCTTCTGTCGTGACAGCGCAAGTGCCAGTCCGGTCGCTCTGTATCACAGAATAGTGTTTTTGATTGATTGACGTTCTAGTTTATGTCTACCTCAGCGCCTCCTCTTAGCCTGACTTCAGGGGGCTGCCCAATTTCGTTTCTTCAATTTTACTGGTTACTTTTTTGTACAAATCTCTCTCTCTCTCCCTTCCTCTCTCCCTCCCTCTCTCTCTCTTTCTCTCTGCATCTCCTTTCCTCTCCTCTCTCCTGTAAATCTTTTCCATCCTCTCTATCTATCACCTATCTATCTATCTATCTGTCTCTCTGTCTATCTCCCTCTCTCTCTCCCGACCTGCTGACCCAGCCCAGTACTCATTTGGTCCCTCCCAGCCCTGGTCTCTCCAGAATTGACTGAACTTCTCTGTCGGGCCCTGGTTGCAGCTTCCCGCATCTGCCTTCGTTCCGTGTAGATTGATGCGTTTCTTTGTAATTTCAGTGTTTCTGACAAGATTTAAAAAAAGAAAAAAAAGGAAAAAAAAAAGAAAAAATGAATTTACTGCTGCAGGTTTTTTTCTCTCTCCATGTGTCACTAAGTGAAGTTTGTGCCTTCTATAGCAAAGAGAATATTTTTTACATCCTACTAACAGTAGATTTTTTTGTAGTGAACATTTTTTGTATTTTTATTTATAAGTCTCATAAGAAAAAATAGCAATGTTCAGTTGTATACCTTGAATCTGCAGTTAGAAGAGAATAAAGTTAATTCAGTTGTCTCTGGATTCTTGCGTTCCTTCGCCTTAATTATATATATAAAAAAAAAAAAGAACAAAAAAATAGGAAACAATGTTTGGGGGTTGGGCTAGGTGGTTAGTTGAGGTCTGAGGGACAAGAAAAGTATGGATCCCACATCTTCAGCCTAGTGCTCCTTACAGACCCTGCTGAACACATTGTCCGGATGCATTTGGGTTAAAAGATTCCATTTCTGGGGCCAGAGAGATAAGACAGCGGGTAGAGCACTCGCCTTGTGCATGGTTGACAAAGGTTCAATCTCCAGCACCCATAGGGCACCCTGAGCTCTACCAGGACTGATCCTTGAGCATTTGGGGTGTGACCCAAACCCCCCCACCCAAAAAGACCCCATTCTGCCACTGTCACTTGATCCATGTTGGGGGCTGGCGGGCATCCTCTGTTTCTCCACCACTGACCCTGAGGGGCTCCTTCCGGTTCCAGGCCTGGGGTATGTGGGGGGGAAGAGGGAATGGGGTGCGGGAGGGGGAGTGGGCAGCAGCTGTCCTCTGTCCTCTGTTCCAGCCAGCCCGCAGGGGCGGATCCCTTTGCTCCTGCTGGCACATGTGGGCACTGGCAGCGATGCCCTCCTCAGGCGGGTTATCTACCAGGACTCGGCCCGGGATCCAGCTGCTCCTCATTCTAGAAGTTTCCCCATTTCTTCCTGCGGCTCACAAGTTTCACAAGTTTCCAGCAAGAAGCTGCCACCCAATGTGGGGGTCCCTGAGGATGGGCGGGGGCACTGGGGGTGTCCGGGCAGGCCCCCTGGCAACATACAGCAATTTCCATCAGCCTGCAGGGGGAACTTGCCCCCTCCCTCCGCCGCCCTCCCAGGCTCCTGGCCATGGCTCCTGCTTTTATGGGGCCAGAGTATGGTAGGGGCTATACCCTAAAACCAGCCCCCCACCCCCCAGGGCATCCCACCTGCCCTCTGTAGCACTCAGAGCAGAGCAGTGATTACTGCTGGGCTGGGGGGGGGGGACACGCCAGGGTTCTAGGGCAGCAATTTTGGGGTCCCTGGGAAGAGGGTCTCAACCCCCCTGCTCCTGGGTTCTGCTGTGACCTGAGGCTGAGCTGGGACCACCTGGAGCCACACGGGGCCCTTTGCTTTGTCTTCCCCTCCCCCCTACCCTCCTCTCCCTCACCGCCTCCCCCTCCCCTCCCTCCCTCCCCTCCCCTCTTCCCTCTGTCTCCCCCTTACCCTCCTCCTTTCGCCCCTGTCTCTGGGCCACGTTAATTTTTCTCTCCCTTTTTTCTCGGGAGACAATTCTGTACCAACAACATTCTCCAGGGGTGCCCTCGGAGCTGCCACGCGTCCCGTCCACCCAATCCCACCCCCCCCCCGCTGGTCCCCCTCATTTCCCATCCTCCAGCCCCCTCCCCCGCTGCTGGTTCCCCCTCCTCCAACCTGCCTCCTCCCTGCAGCCTGCCTGCCCCTCCCCCGGGCCTCAGCTTTCTCTTGACAGATGGGAGGGCAGCGAGCACTCCCTCTTTAAAACAACATTTAATCGCTGTTTTCTGTTCTCGGACATCAAAGCTGGGGCTTAGGCGCGGGGCTGGGGTCGGGGCTGCGCGGGGCTGGGGGAAAGGAGGTGAGTGAATAGGGGCCGGGCTGAATGGGCTTTGTGTGGCCGCCAGGGCCTGCCTGCTTTACATGCTCTTTGACCCAGATATGATCTCATGGAGAGAAAGGGGCCCTGGCCTGGCGGCCTGAGAACACTCGGGGCCTGCCCGTCCCTGCCCTCCTGGGGCAGGTCCCACAGCTCCACCCTGCCCAGCTGCCCCCAGCCCCAGCCCCTGACCTGGGCTACCTCCTCCAGGCCCGCGCCTGCCACAGGGACCCCGAACAGGGCAGGCAGCCCTGAGACATTCAATTCCTCCTAGATGGGGTCCCCAAGACCATCAGGTTGGAGGGAGGAGAATGAATGTGTGCACACAACGCACGGGTGTGTGTAGACACCTGCAATGTGCATACAGAGACATGCGTGAGTGCACAGCGTGTGCGCGCCTCTGTGTCCACCCAAGGCTTCTTCCAGCCGGCTTGCCACTGCACCCTCAGGAGGGGCCCCTCACTCCCCCCGCCCCATCCAGGCTGCGGAGAGGCTGGGAGAGCTGGGTTTTGGAGGGCCCCCCAGATTTTCCAAATACACAACGCATCATGCGCGGTTGTTACCCTCCCCCACCCTCCCTTACTGGCTCCTCCATGAACCGAATCACAAGGCTTAGCAGACCCGCACCCTGAGCGGGGATCACGCCCGGGTCTCTCCGTGGCCCCCATCTCTGTGCTGCACATACCTACCTGGACCACAGGTGGGTTCCGGAAGCTGCTGAGCACCGCCCCCTGCGTGCTCCCGGGGGCTGCAACCTTCGCACACAGACCAGCGGCGTGTCAGGCCGCCCGACTCATTATCCCGACTCCTAGGACCCACTTCCGGTCGCTGGACTGGTCAGTGAGGTGGCCTTGGGAGGCCCTGAGCTGAACTGTCACGCCCTGCTTGCTTGCTTTCTGTGTGTGTGCGTGTGTGTGTTAAATGATTCTTTTGTGTAGTTGTGGGGACGCACTTGGAGTTTATGCATGCAAAGCCCGGTTGAGGCATATCCCTGTCCCTTAGGAAGTCATCAACTTTTCAAACGGAGATCACTCCCAGCAGTGCTGGGGGCTGCTCGTGGATCCAGGGGGCTGGGGGTCAAACTCAGGGCCACTGGCTTGTATGTGCTCTACCACTGGAGCCATCACTCACCTCCCCGCTTTATTATGTTTGGGGGTCACCCCCAGCTGTGCTCAGGGGTTACTCCTGGCTCTAAACTCAAGAATCACTCCTGGCGGGGCTCTAGGGACCATAAGGGAGGATGGGGAATCAAACCTCGATTGGCCACAAGTGCCCTCCCGGCTGGACTCTCTGGACGTACCCCTTCCCGTCTGGGGTTCCAGCAGGGCAGGGCTGGCCTGTGCCCCAAACTCACGCAGACATCTCTGGGTCGTAAACAAGCACGGGAAGGAGACGCAGGTCCCGAGCATCTCCGGCCGAGGTTGCATGGCCAGAAGTGGGTGCGTGCCACGTGCCCACCAGGAGCCGCCCCTGCGAGCGAGCGCGCAGACCCGTTCCCGCGCCCGAGCGTGGTCACGGCCGGGTGCTCCTGCCGCCGCTCACACACACGAGAGTCACCCACGATTCTGTTCCTGGGGACACCCGAGCCCAGCGCTGTGAGCCACACAGGACATTTCCCAAGCAGGACACTGTGGACCCGGGAGGGACCTGGGGTGCAGCGGGGTTGGAGGAGGGGTGGGGACTCCTGTGCGTGTGCGCTTCTGTATGTATGCGTGCACGGGCATGTGTGTGCTCATCTGTGCGTGTGCGTACACGTGCGTGTGTGTGTACGCATCTGTGCGTGTGTGGGCGTGCGTGTGCGCATCTCTGTGTGTGCGCATATGCATGCGTGTGCGCATATGCATGCGTGTGCGCATCTTTGCGTGTGTGCATCTGTGCGTGTGTGTGCATGTACGTGTGGGCGTACGTGTGCACATCGTGTGCACGCGCGCACGTGCGTGTGCGTGTGTACATGCGTGCGCACATCCGTGCGTGCGTGTGCAGGCGTGTCTGCGTGCGCGCGCGCGCCTCTGCGTGCACTTGTGCCGGCTGCGGGCAGGCGACCATCTGTTCTTTTGCAGGGATGCGGCCTCCCCCCAAGTCTCCCTGCGCTTCTGGGTGCAGCCCTCCACCCCACGGCCCCCAGCCCCACTGGTGGACCAACAGCCTCCGCCCATGGCTGTGCTTTCCACTCCCCAGGGGGGCGCGGAGTGAAAGTGAACTCTCATTTAAACCTGACTCCCGGCCTGCAGCCCCCCGCAGAGTTAATTACCCCGTAGTTCTAAACTGATTGCTGTACACTAAGCTTAAGCCCTCCTTTATTTATTTACTGACTACATTAATAGGAAGCGGCGCGGCTCACCGCCGCTCCCCACGCTCCGGCGGCTGGCTCCCCACGCCCCTGCTTGCGTGGCCTGGCACAGAGCCCCCACATGGACCACCTTCCCGGAAGCCCAGGGAATCGGTTCATCTCCTGCAGGTTCCTGCACCCGAGAGGGCCCCGTGACTGTGCTGTGCAGTGGCAGCGCCTCCCGCCCCCTCCACCCTTCGCCAGGGGAACCTCCTGCTCAAGGGCCCCTGCAAGTTTCCGCGGGCCCTTCCGCACCCCTGTGAGGTGCCCAGTTCAGCTGTGTTTCACAGGTGAGAGTGGCAGCCCAGACTCCAGCCATGGGCCTTCCTCCCTGTGGCTCAGTCCTCTCCCGGCTCCCTGCTACTCCCTTGCAAAATGCTCAGGGCTTCCTCAGCCACGGGAGACGGGTGGGTGTCCGGCTTGCCTCTGCCATGTCCAGGGTCGCCCGGACTTTGCCAGGGAAGGGGCTGAAGCCAGGCATTTGTTGCCAGCCTTCCCCGGCCAGGGCAGAGTTCACCCCTTAGCCACAAGCCTGCAGGGTGTAGAGCCCAGAGTGGGCATACAACCTGGGCATGGCCTGCCTCCGCGGGCTGGGGGGCATGGCAGTGGTTCTGCAGGCCAGGTGGCACCGTGCCGGTGCAGTGAATGGGCCCCTGGCATGGAGCTCCCAGTCCCAGTTCTCAACCGTTAAGTGGCGGGGCTGGGGAGGCGTGTGCGTGTGTGTGTGTGTGTGTGGTGGGGTGGGGCTCAGCATTTCCTGTTCCTTGTATCCTTGAGCCCGTCAGACCCAGGAATCATGTTTCCTAAAGATGCAAACTATGAATGGGAGGAGGCTCTCGGATGTCCTGAGAAGGGTGTACTGGGGGGCCCATTCACTAATTTCAGGGCAGGAGCCCCTAGACTCAGGACCAGGCTTCCGCAGCAGAGGGCAATTCCAGGACTCTGGCGCCACCTCGTGGGGGGAGGCCGCCGGTGCTTCCTTTCTGGAAGCATCTGGAAGGTTCTAGCTGGGTAAGGAGAGAATGTTCTGGGGATGGGCCCCAGTCAAGGAAAA